AGAATACAAATAAGCTAATCTACGGTTAGGGTACTTCTAGGATGGGTAGAATTCGGTCGTCGAACGGCTCGTGAAATTTCTGATTGTACGCGCTTATATTCCAACAAACGCACGGTTTGGTCCACAGCAACCTATTCACGGGCGCGGCCCTGATTCATTGTTTGATCTTTCTGGTTTTTCTACCATCAATATATCACTTCATCCGGTGCATTTGCAATTTTTTCGGTCGATTTCAAATAATTTTCCCAGGTCAAATATCACTTTTTGCTTCGGCTCCAAAGATCTCTTTGTGACTTCCACTTGGTTTTCAAACATCTCTTCACTTTTTGACGCCAGTTTCAAAAAAAAAAGGTTAGGACCAAAATTCGAGAATTGGAAAGTTCTGTGAAAAAAGTTGGACAGTTGTCGGGAGCTGTATAGAAGGAAAGGGGTTTGCCCCCTAAATCACTTTGTACCCCTTTGTACCCCAGAATTATGTGCCCTGTTCTGCACCCTCCAGAACTTTCACAGCTATCTGAATTCGACAGCCGAGCTCCAGACTCATGAAAATAGACAGAGGCAACTGCAAAAAATGTTTTTGTGTCATTGATTGACTGATACTGTATGTCCTACTCTGGTACAAAAAATTGGTAATGTGGAAGAGAAACGTAGGTGGTCGTGGCCGAAGATCCCACAACTGCCGTAACATGAAAATATTTTGACTTTCCGGATTTATTCTTTCGAAAGATACCATAAACTTGACGAAAAACAGTGAAAAGCGAGGAAGTAAACACTAAACCCCAAAAACACTTTACGGTTACTGTAGTTGCCACTGCGGAGTTTCTCTTCCATCGCTCCAATTTTCGTACCAAAATAATGATTTAATAATTTAACATAACTTCTAAATACACCATCGCAAGAAAATATGCCAATAATGACCCCCAAAAATTTCTTTTTCCCAGAAAAGTCGTACTCGAGTACTACTCCATCGAAGTCACCGACCTTCCTCGTTTTGTTATGATCCCATATGCACCAGATGGATCCATCCGCTGACTAAACATCTCATTTCTCATCTCCGGTCTTTGCAATATTTTCTTTCACTACTCCATCATCTTGTACTGCGGACTCAAGATGCATTTCAACATTGCCATTAAGCTAAAAATGTGCTCGAAGTTTCAAAGCTATCTTCAAAATCAATTTTTCCGAGCCCTCGTTGTCCAGAGCATCGGACCCACTCTTTTCCTCGTCCTCCCAATTGCACCAATTCTTGCTGTACCTTTAATGTCACCATATACTGGAACAGAAGTCAGTTGGCAGCCGGGATGGTTGCATTCGATTGTTGGATTGTTTCCCCCGTTTGATAGTCTTGCTTTCATGCTAATTGTTAAGGAGTACACCAAGATTTTGAAAAGTGCGTTTTTTTCTATTTTCTGGTATATTGAGATTTCTGAATTTCAGATCGGTTTGGATGCATAATGAGTGGTCCGTCAGTGGAGCCAACTAGTCATCCAAGTGCCAGCCAACAGCCAATAAATGTTCTATAGTGTGTTTTGTCTCACTTAAATGTATAATTGCTTCATTTGAAATGTAAATATTCAAAATCAAATAAAACTCAAAATATGTCATCTGGACCTTCGATAATAATTCTGGGAATTTTATCTTTCGAAATTTTATATTTCCTTCGTTTGTCTAACTTCAAAAATGTCGGGATTACTGTAGTTCTCTCTATTTCTACAAATCCCTTCCTCGCTTCCATCATTCGTTTTCCAGAATCCATCCTTCGATTACGATATCTTTGAGGGGCTCGGAGAAATTTAGGATTTTGGTCCGGAAGAGCATTCAGGAGATTTGGGTCATTGGAAGTTTCCGATTCGAGTTTTTGCAGTTTGGCTCTGAAAAGATTAAAGGAAAATTGTATTAATCCAGGTATAAAAGAGTCTAGGAATCCAGGAAACTAAGAATTCAGTAACCCAGGACGTCAGGAAACCAGAATCCAAGAACTCAAAAACACAGTAATCCAGGAGTTCAGAGAACTCAAGAATACAGAAATTCAGGAATTCAAAAATCCAGGAATCCGGGAATATGGGAATCCAGAAACCCAAGAATCAAAAAATCCGAAACTTCTGGAAATCAAAAATTGAGGAATCCGAAAATCCGGGAACCCAAGAATCCAGGACTCCAGGATTCCAGTAATCTAGAAATCTTGAGATCCATGATCTCAGGTAACTAGGGAAACAGGAATCCGAGAATGCAGGAATCTAGGATTCCAGGAATTCAGAAATTCAATCTTCCAAAAATCCGGAAATTCAAAAAACCAGGATTCCAGGAATTCAGAAACTCAGGAATCCAGGAAGCCATGAATCCAGGAATTCAGCAACTTAGGTATTCAACAAATAGAGAATCCAAGAATCAAGAATATCAGAAATCCAGGAGTTCTGGAATTCTGGAATCCATTAATTTGGGGATCTAGAAATCCACGAAGCCAGCTAACCAAATATACAAGAATCCAGAAATCCGAGAATCTTGAAATCCAGGAACTAAGGAAATCAGGAATCCACGAATCTAGGAATCTAGGAATCCCGAATTCCACGTATCTAGGAACCCCGAAATCCAGGAGCGCAAAATGCTAGGAACCCCAAAATCCAGGAATCTTGGAATTCAAGAAGATCATCAAAAACTCACATTTCCCAATCCTTCCTAACCTTCGATGCACCCATAATTCCCAAAATTACAGTAACCGCAGACATTCCACCATAAACCCAAGTGTATCCAGGATCTGGATGTCTCGTAATTGCTGGATCACAAATAAATTGCATTTCCAACTTATATTTACTCTCCAAAATATACAAAATATGCAAAACTCTTCCCGGATCTTCAGCACACCAATTCCTGAATTCTCTGGGTACACAATCATAGTCCAAAAGGTCCAAAAGCTTTTTCCCTTCAGAAATGTTATAGCTTTCCATGGGAAATTTGTGTAGAAAATGATCCCAAGATGAGCAATTCATCCAGTTGACCGCCAAATTTAAAAATAGATTTTCAGGAAATTTCCCCTCGATTTCTTGTACTTGTCGCCAGTAAAAAATTGAAAGAGCTCTAGAATTTGTTTGAATTTTTAAATTTAGTTTATTTGTTTAAAAACCTACTTTGCATGAACAGAATTTCTAAATTCTTCCGACAGTTCTGTTTTATTTTTTGTGTTTAAATCCAATAAACAAAATCTGGATCTTTGCATTTCTAAAAAGGGAATCGTTTTGAGACCCAACTGGTCAGAGAATACAAAAATTAATAAAAATAGAAAATATTTCATTGGTTTTGTAGAGAAATATGGGAATGTACGTATGTTTTGGGTACCTAATTGTAAGATAAGAGTATCTTATCAGTCATTTCTCGACCAAATATGACTGAATAAACAAATATGCGACCAAGAATTTAAAAGAAAAACGTTTTTTTTGCTGAAAAGTTGTCTGAAAAAGCAATAAATTTGATGAATTTACGAAATTTAAATTTTTGAACCTCCCGCTATTCGAATGTTCATCGCGCCCAACTCTGCGTATTGCGGACCGGGCGCTTCAAACGACGCGCAATGAATTTTTCATGATTTTTTAAAACATTTTCCGGATGAAATATGCAATTTATTGTCGCGTTCTCTTGTTTTCTTTTGTTATTTTTAGATTTTCTGACACAAAATTCTCATTTTTAAACGTTTTCAGTGTCAAAAAATGGCCGGACTCATTCGATCACTGTTCAAAGGCAAAAAGACACGAAAGGATAGCAAAGAGCCCGATAATCGCGAGGATTATATCGTTGTTAGTGCTAAAAACGGGGTGAACAGTTAAAAAAATCTGGAAACAAAAAAAAAAGATAGAAAATTTTTTAAAAAATCCGATTTTGATGATATTCGAATTTAACTGATTTTCAAGCGAATTTTCCAATTTAGAAAAAAATTTTGCGCTTCAAACGACCGAAAAAAAATTATTTCCGGCTCATGTTCTCAATAATCTTCTTACTTTTTCAGTTCCAGCCATGTCCGTCATTCAAACAACCCCGTCAACCGACCGCCCGTTTCTCCGATGACTGTATGCTACCGGCGACGGCCGCCTATCACGTATCCGGCGCTCCAAAACTCCGTAAAGGCCCTCAAAGTTGTCCGGGAGGCAATCGAAACGATCCACATTTGAGAACACGAAGCTTATCGAGAAAACCATCCTATCGCCGTCAGGATTTCGATATAGATTCGGGATTTGAGAGAAATCGACAAAAGTACAGGTTTTTTGAGGTGGAAATTGATCAAAAAAGCATCAAAACCGCCTAGAAAATATATTAAAAATCGCTCAAAATATCGAGGGATTTTTTTGTCAAATGACCATAAAAGCGTCGAATTCAGAGAATTTTCAGAGCCCCCATGAAGCCTGGCAGAAGTCGTTGCTCGCTCTACGATCCGCGGTCAGAAGAAGACGACTCAACCGATGAAAACGATCGAATCGAGATGTTCGAGCGAAAAAGCGAGTACTACATGAAGAAATTCGAGGAGTCTGAACGCCAGCGACGCGAAGAACGTCGTCGTCAGGAGCGTTTGGAGCACGAGAGAAACAGTATTCAGAGTGCAATGTCGAATATGGCATACTGTACGTCGGTTCAACAAATGGCGTCTGTAAAACAGATGGAGCAACTGAAAAAGGAGCGAGATCAGTTTCGGAAGGAGTTGGGACGGTATAAGACGAAATATGAGAAGTTGGAGAATAGATATGAGCAATTGGGAACAAGTCAGAATACGCCACTTTTTGGTGGTCCAGGAGGAGCGTTTAAGGTGCGAACCTGTGGAAATCAGTCTAAAATTCACCCAGAATAACTGAAAGACGAAAATTCTAATTTCAGACCCAATTCCAACCTCCGGCACAATTTCTGACTCCACAATTTTCCGCCTCTTCTCACACTTTCGCCTATCCGAATCCTCCAAACTTCAAACCACTGTCTTCTGGAGGCCCACCATCACTTCATCACCGCTCCATGGACGCCTTCATCGACATAAAACCACCACGTCATCAGCCGTTCCAGAATCTTCTAACGTCTTCTGATGGATCCACGAGGAGTTTTGAAACGATGAGCCATACGCCGACGACGATTGGAAGCGACGGAGGTGGAGGAGGAGGAGCTGGAGAGGCTCTGGTCAATCCAATGGACCTCAGCTTTCTGGGAAATTCGTCTAGTTTAGAGGGAAATGGTAAGGAAAATAAGGGCAAATTGGCGGAAGGCCCCACAACGATAGCTACCGTAACCAAAAAAATATTTTTGTTTTTGGTTTTTTTTGTTTTTCTCGATTTTCATGACTTTTCTTTCCAGGAAACTTTTTAAAGGTTCTCGAATCTTTTTTTGAATTCCCGCCAAAACTGAAAACTTCGAAAATTAGCGGGTTTTTTTTGCAATTTTCCGAGAGTTTCAGTTGATTTTTTCTTCGATTTTTCGCTAAATTTTTAGACCTTTTTAGGTATTTCAGCTATTTTTGAAGATTCTGTTTCGATTTTTTTTCGAACTTCTTGTCTGAAATTTAGCTGGATGATGTTCGCGAAGATTACTGTAGGTTACTTTAGAAAATCTTATATTTTGCATGCTTGCGAAATTCCGCGCCGGGTCGCGGGCCGATGAAGTGCTGGCCCGGCCCGAACGGCCCGCTGTTTGTACATAAGCGGATTTTTTCAAATTTTTTTTCGAAAATTTTAAAATTTTTTCAAAAAATTTAATCAAAAACTATATTTTTTTGACTACTTTCTACTTTGATAATTTTAAAAAGTACCGTAAAACCTCTAATAGAACGACACCCGAATCTTCGCAAACAACACCCGTCAAATTTCAGACGGAAAAAACGAAAAAGAATCTTCAAAAATAGCTGAAAAACATAAAAAGGTCTAAAAATTTTGCGAAAAATCGATGAAAAACTCAATTGTAATAATAATAATATATTTATTTGCAATGCATGGGGAAATCGATAGATAATTTGGCAAGAAATGGGACCTGTACAAATAAAAAAGTAAAATGACCAGACGGACCGACTAGAGTCCTGTAGGTCAAGTGGGAGGGATCAGAATATCATAAGGAATCGCTCCTACTCGCTTAGCAAACGCCACCGGACTGAGCTTAGAATTTATCACCTTACATACACGGTTCCACATAGACAAGTTTCTGTGAAGGAAGCAGTCAAAGTATTGACCGTTGATTTTGAACAAATACGGGGCTCTGTTAGAATGGCTGGGAAGAATGTAGGACGACATAGAGGGAAAATGGTATGAGTTTATAACAATTTTGTGATAGGTACGAAGAACTAGAAGGGTGTGGCGATGAAGGGTGGTTAGCATGAGAACTGGGAAAGGCGATCGGTGTATGAATTGAAGGGCATATTCTCTGAAAGACTTTTCTGGTGGAGAAACGAAGAGGAGATTCAAGTTTATTGGCAAGTGAGGCATTGGATGGATCGAAAAGTTCACAACCGTATTCGAGGACCGGTCTAATGTAGGTGTCGAAGAGACGGAAATATAAACAAGGGTTTTTCGATTGGAACGTTTTCAGTATTTGGCGGGACTTGAGTTTAGCAGAGTAGGCAATAAGATTGATGTGTTTGTCGAATTGAAGTTGATCATCAACTAGTATACCTAGGTCCTTGAACGAGCGATGCGGAGTAATGGGGGAAGCTTTCGGAAAACTGCAAAAAACCGCTAATTTCTCGGAGTTTTCAGTTTTGGCGGAAATTCACAATTCCAGGACCTTCCAGAAGTTTACTAGGCGTCATTGTAAGATCTTCGGTCACTGCCGACGGCGTTCCTCTTCGTTTTTTACTATCAGAATAATAGGAAAAATCTTCTTTTTGGATAGGAAAAAAACACAAAGATTCGTTTAACTTTGTCCTAGAAAACCATTTCGCAACCGAAAGTCTCAAAATCGGTCCTTAAAAGTGTCTTTTTCCAGTTCACTTCCTTGGCTCCGCCCACAACGACGACGAGGATGAGATCAAGAACTATCGCTACGACGACGCATTTCTGGCATCGAGTCCACTGAGTCAACTCACTCAATACACAACTAACACCACTTCGAACACTCATAATACACAATAATTTTTTTTTATTTTTTTTAAAATCTCTTAATAGGACTGAAATTAGGGGTTTTCAACGTTCTAGCTCCGCCCATTTTCATAGTCCCTCTATGTCTACTTTTCGATTTTCAATCATATTCTGATTTCTCATGTATTTTCCGTTTTCTGTACATATTAATTTCCTTGCAATGATCTTTCTTATGTACTTAATTTAAATTTTTCAAAATTCTGAATTTTCGAATTCATCGACCTGAATTTTAAATTCAAAATAACAATAATCCAACTCTTATTTCTCTATGAAAGGAGTTCAACAATCCGAATCATTTTCTGAAAAATTAAAAAAAAAACGTTGAAAATCAAAAATTCAAAAAGATAATCCTCTTCCACTCAATTTTTATATTTCTTTGAAAACCTTTTTGTATTCAGTAGAATTTCTTTTGTTCTCCTAATCCTCCATCACTTTTCTAAAAACATACAATTCATAAAGACAATTTTCGGTTTTGAATTGTTTTCAATTTCAGAAAATTCCCAAGTTCTCTAAAAAAATTGTTCAATGGCATCATTATTCTGGTACAAAAAAAAATCCAAGAAAAGTTCCAGACTTTTTCAGACAATTTTTTTAGGAAAGTTTCTGATTCAAAAAATTTTTCCGCATCAAAAAATTCAAAATCAGACAAATAAATCTCTTGAAGTTACAGGTTCCGGTTTTTAAAGTTATTAAAACTCTTATTTTCTGAAATCATGATTTTTTAAAGTTCGAGTTTCTGAAAATGAAAAAAAAAACTATACAGTTCTTATGATACTAAACTATCACAAGATCTAGATAACAATATATTCCCAGTAGATTTATTGTTTTCTAGTAGATACCATTAACGAAAAAGCGGAAAAATTAATCTTAGAAGGAAAAATAGAGAAAAATGATAAAGAAGAAAAATATTATCAAATCAAAGTTCTAAAAACATTTTTTTCCTAGTTCTAAAAACATTTTTTTTTCTAGTTCTAAAAACATTTTTTTCTAACTTTCCCATTCCAAAGTCAAATAAATCAAAGCGAAAAAAGAGCAATAACAAACTACAATTTCAGTGAATTGTATTTTTTTTCAGATTTCTTTCATATTCATTCTTCAGAAAATCACATAAATTCACTCTTTTTTTGAGTTCTGTTTCTTCTTTTTCCTTCGTTTTTCTCCTTTTTTAGTTTTCAATTTTTTTAAAACAAGTTCAAATTTTTTATTAAATTTTTATTCCATTTCGTAAAATACATATTCCTTCTTTGATTTGATAATTTTTTTCTTCTTTATCATTTTTCTCTATTTTTCATTCTAGCAATAAGATTAATTTTTCCGCTTTTTCGTTAATGGTATCTACTAGAAAACAATAAATCTACTGGGAATATATTGTTATCTAGATCTTGTGATAGTTTAGTATCATAAGAACTGTATAGTTTTTTTTTCATTTTCAGAAACTCGAACTTTAAAAAATCATGATTTCAAAAAATAAGAGTTTTAATAACTTTAAAAACCGGAACCTGTAACTTCAAGAGTTCGAAAACTCGCAGCAAATCTTACAGTTGAGAAAAGTTCAAAATTCCACGTTCATAAAAATTCAGAAGATTTGAAATTCAAAACTTTTAAAGCCCATAAACTCCAAAAATCCAGAATATTCGGGAACTCAAAAAAGTTCAAAATCAGCTGAAAACTGCGTTTGAGATTTTCTTCTTCATGGAAAACCCTTTCTTCATTTTCTACTTTGTTTTTTTTTCATTTTTGAATTTTTTTCTAGTTTCCCAGAAATTCAAAAATATTATCATTTCTTTTTTAATTTTTTTACTTTTTCATATTTTTCCCTTTTTTCCACAAATTCCAAGAAGGTCTGAAATGTTATCCATTTTTTATTGATTTTTTTCACTTTTTCCTAAACTTCGCTTTTCCAGACATTCCAGAAATTTCGAAAATGTTCCTCCCTCTTTCAATTTGTTTCCCTTCATTTCCTTTTTCTCCTATTATCTCATTTTTCCAGAAATTCCAGGAAATTTGAAAAAAAACTCCATTTTTTATCTTTTTTTTCCACTTTTCCCTATTTTTCCATTTTTCCAGAAATTCCAGAATATTCAGATACACTCCTCATTTTTAACAGTTTTCTTTTTTCGATTTTTCTGGAACCTTTTATCATTTGTTACAAAATTTGATAAATATCTACAGTATGCTCGGATATTTCAATCGTACTCATTCCCTGGAAGACGGCACGTGGTCCCTGTTCAGAATGCTTCTTCATTTTGAAGTCGTTCTAATTATCATTAAGTTCGTTTTTGAAAAAAGATTTTCATTATTATTTTCAAAACTTCCAAAATGTAGAAAATTTCAGTTTTGAAAAAAAATGATTTTTTTTCAATTTTCAAAAACTTATAATTTTTGAAAATTCGTAATTCAAAATTTCGAAAATTCCAAAAAAGTAATGTAATGCAACAAAAACGAAGTTTCTTGAAAACTAAACTTTTTTAATTTTCAAAACTTAAAAGTATAATTTCGGAAATTCCAAAAAAAAATTGTTGAATTTCCAGCATAATCTCGATTGCATTCTGGTTTTCTGTCATAATGTCGGCCAAGAATACGCATCCAAATGTACGAATCCTCAATGCATTTTATTATGGACAATACATGATACAGCTCAGCTTTTGGATAGTACAGCCAGTGCTTATTTGCTCAGAACAGTTGAATGGTGAGGTTCTGATCTTCCTGATATTTGCTTTTCTTGAATTCCTGGATTCCTGGATCACTGGATTCCTGGATTCCTGGATTTCTAGATTAATGGATTCCCAAATTATTGAATTCCCAGTTTTCTGGATTCCTGGATTCTTGGATTCTTGGATTCTTGGATTCTTGGATTCTTGGATTCTTGGATTCTTGGATTCTTGGATTCTTGGATTCTTGGATTCTTGGATTCCTGGATTCCTGGACTTCTGGATTCCTGGATTCCTGGACTTCTGGATTCCTGGATTCCTGGTTTCCTAGATTAATGGATTCCCAAATTATTGAATTCCCAGTTTTCTGGATTCCTGGATTCTTGGATTCTTGGATTCCTGGATTCCTGGACTTCTGGATTCCTGGATTCCTGGATTCCTAAATTTTTGGATTCTTGGATTCCTGGTTTCCTAGATTCCTGGATTTTTGAAATCCTGAACACCTAAATTTTTGTATTGCTGGATTCCTGGTTTCCTGGATTTCTTAAATTATCAAATTCCCAGATTTCTAGATTTCTATAACGCTGGATTCTTCAATTTTTTAGACTCCTGAACTTTTAATCTCTTGGAATTTTATTATCAGAATTCGAAGGATTTTGCTCTCTCTATTATTATCATTCTTTTCTATTCTGTAGAACCAAAACAATAAGTACATTTCTTCCCTGAAGATTTTTTTATTATGAGATCATAGACCTGAAATTTTATATTCCAGAATAGAAAAAACAACGAAATCGTATTATTCTCTGAAAACTTTCAGGAATTTGCGAAAATAGATTTTGCTCAACACCAAACTACATTTTTTCCAAACTAGTGAGTGATTTAGCTTTGAAATAGTTCAAAATAATGGATTTCTAGGCCACCAGGAGTTTTCTAGGTCTGCAAAGATTTTATAATGATGAGCAATCAGGCACTATTTACGTCATTTTCAGCACTTTCAGACTTGTAACTCATCGTTGTTACATCAAATTGTATAGAAGATGATTATCATGAGATTCTAACTGAAAAATTGTTTTCAGACGCTGACAAATTCTCAAATCAACTCTTCACACTTTGTAGCTATGTCAGAATTATTGGAATGTTTTATGGTGAGGGATTTTGAAATCAAGAAACTTCAGAAATTTTAGATAATCCGATACTCAAAAAATCCTTTGCAAATCCACAAATTCAGATATCCGGAAATTCTGAAGTTCTGGAATTCTGAAATTCTAAAATTCTAAAATCCTAAGATTCTAAGAATCTAAAATTTTGGAATTCTGAAATAATGGAATAATGGATTTCTGAAAATCTGGAATTATGCAATTCTGCAATTATGGAATTATGGATTTCTGAAAATCTGGAATTCAGAAATATGAAAATTCAGAGTTTCATGAAATTCAAAAATCCAACAAAAACAAATTTCAGCATTCACCGCTCTGCCTGCGCTGGTAATTGAACGAAGTGTAGCCACATTTTTATTGGAAAACTACGAAAAAAACCCAAATGTGTGCATTGGATTTTTGACGGTACTTATCCAGATGTTACCGCAGCCGCCGTGGGATCACATTTCAATCGGGGTGAGAAACCAATAGGTTAGAAGATAAAAAAACATCAAAATGTTTTTTTCAGCTAGAAGTACAGTAGTGCATACTGTAAGCGCAATCATTGCAAACTCATTAGCAGTCTGCTTGAACAAAATCAATCAGAAAATAAATGAGAAATATTTTTATGAGTCGGATCGAGTCACTTATTCACTGTCAGAAAGATTTCAAATTACGGAAAATATTAAAGCAGCGAAGGTTGGAAATTTTTTTAAAAGTCAATTTTTCAAAAATTTATTTATTCAGATGTTCGACAAAATAGTGTGGTCCATTGGCTTTTTCAATATAATTGTGAATTCTTGTCTTATACTGGACAACTACGATATCCCAACAACGTTTAAAAATTTAGCATCAGTGTCTTGTGATTTTTCAATTTTACTGTATGGATTAATTGTACCGGTAGTATATTACAATCAGACGGATTCATGGAAAAAAAGGGTGGCAGTTATGTTGGTGAGTTCTAGTAGTGTGCTCATGTTTTTTTAATCGGATGATTCGAGTTTCTGACTAAGGCTTTAATTCGGTCGGGATATTTAGCCGACCGACCGGCCACCGACCCCGCCGTTCGACAGCCGACCGAACTGACTGATCGGTCGGCGCGCCGACCGTTTTCGTGCATTTAAGCGTCAATGTGTTTGCATGCGCAGCATTGTTTTGTACGACAAACTGTTCACTAAATGCCTTGTTTGTCGTAGAATGAAATGCTGAGTACGAAAAAATTTGTAATTTGGTGCGCAAATGCACAAAAACGGTCGGTGCGCCGACCGATCGGTCAGTTCGGTCGGCTGTTGTCGGTGGTCCGTCGGCGGTCGTGATTTCCGACCAACCGGAATGGATGCCTTATTTCTGATTTTTCGAAAATTTTTATCTATTTTAATACTTCTCATCATAAAACTTCAAAATAATTCTGAAATAACAAAAAATGCGTATTCTATTTTACTGTTTCTGGAGAAAAAATATAGTTCGAATGTACAAATTTTCAAGTCTGAAAGTCAAAAATAGGTTTTCAAGTGCTAAAAACTAAAATTCGATTATTCCAGAAAGGCTGCTTCAAACCACGGGTCTCCCCTCTAAAAAGCACATTTGGGCAGGACATGGCACCTCATGGAGCCAAAGAAGAAACTACAAAATATTTCGAAATGTTAACTGATCAGTGGAAATAGATTTTTATTGTTTTTCATATTTTTAATAAATTTAATTTTTTAAAATTGAAATTGAGTTTTATGGAAGCCATGTAGAGGCCTCAATTACGTGCGATAGTGGATCCGGTGTTACTGAAAAAAGTTCCTATTTTTGTTCGAAGAAATGTATAAACTCACTTTCAAATGTGCCAAAAATTGAATCCCGTTTAAGACCGATTTGTTCGATTGGCCCTTCTTGTCGTTTTTCGAACTTTCCGGTGTACAAAAATACAAAAAGTCCCAATTGTAAAAATAAAATTAAAAGGCACAAAAATGCCACACATAATATTAAAGTGTCTTCGATGGTAGGCATAATATGGTGATGAATGATGAATATTTTTTTACGAAAAATTTATTTCTGGGATTTTGGCTTATCTACACCTCCTTGAGCGAAAAATCCGTATCAAAACAAAGCTAAAATTTCATGACACATAATAAAAATCGTATTATTTTTTATTGAATCCGTTGAAAACCTTCAATCGGGATAATATGCATAAGTTGATTTGAATTTACTGAAAAAGGTTTTTTTTTCTATTTTGAAGTAATTTATCTCGGTTCCTGTAGAAGATATCAAAATGTTGTAAACTGATAAAATATTGGTGATATTAAAATGAACGTTTCTTAGGTTAAAAACTTTTCAAAATCTTTCACAGGAAACAAGGTAACTCGGGTCAAAGTTGACGAGAAGTCGAAAACTTACATTTCATTTTTCGATTCACCCGCTCCGGTGTTCTTATCATTTTATCATAGTAGATAAACGAGAAAAGTACACATTGTAGCACTAAAATAAAAAAGCATAAGAATAAAATGAATAATATCAGATGATCCTCTTGAAAAGACATCAAATTAGAACTCAGGTGAGAAAATTCTGGGATTAAATACAGAAAAGAAGCCATTAGCGAAAATAATTTCATAGGATTATATTGTTTTTTTAAGAGAAGCAATGATTTTTTCTCTATTCAAATCCGCTTGACGCATGTTTTTGCTTCCGGCCACTTTTTGGTGAGTTTTACAACATAGATCAAAGATACTGCAGCGAAAAAATGACAACTTTGGACTTGACAATTTTGCACCTGGACGCTTTAGAATCGGTTACAAAGTTGTTAGTTGCGAATTGATCAAATATTGCGAAACCTATTGACTATTCTGCAACTATGACTATTCTATAACTGAAACGAGTTGCAAAATTGCTCGGTGCAAAAAAAATGTTAGGAAAAGAAGGAAAATTGAAAAAATCAGAATTCGGGTCATCAAATTTTTTGGAACATTTAAAACAAATGAAAACTTGAGTAAAGTAATAGAGAAATTAATTATTTTTGAATGGAAAATGAATTTTTAGGAATAATGACAAAAAAAGAAGATTCCGAGATTCAGAGATTTGAAGATTCTGAGATTCTGAGATTCTGAGATTCTGAGATTCTGAGATTCTAAGATTCTGAGATTCTGATGTTCTGAGATTCTGAGATGCTGAGATTCTGAGGTTCTGAGATTCTGAGATTCTAAGATTCTGAGATTCTGATGTTCTGAGATTCTGAGATGCTGAGATTCTGAGATTCTGAGATTCTGAGATTCTGAGATTCTGAGATTCTGAGATTCTGAGATTCTGAGATTCTGAGATTCTGAGATTCTGAGATTCTGAGATTCTGAGATTCTGAGATTCTGAGGTTCTGAGATTCTGAGATTCTGAGATTCTGAGATTCTGAGATTTTGAGATTCTAAGATTTTGAGATTCTGAGATTCTGAGATTCTAAGATTCTGAGATTCTGAGATTCTGAGATTCTGATGTTCTGGGATTCTGAGATTCTGAGATTCTGAGATTCTGAGATCCAGCAAATTGAAAAAGTTGAAAATTAGAATAATGGAAAAACGGAGAAATCAAAAAATCGAAAAATGGATGATTCAAAAAATGAGCAATCTAGATTTGAAAACTTTAAATTATAATTCCAAGAACACACCACCCTATAATTATTTCAAAGTTGAATAACAACATATTCTGTTTGCGCTATACTCAACTATTATATATCTAACTTCACATCATTTTTCACTCATTTAATGAAAAAGAATGCACCAAATTCTACTTTCCCTCCTCTTACCAACTTTATTCGCTTTCCAACACCAATGTGGATTACCTTCATTTATGGGAATAGATTCATCCTATCCAGCACCAGATCCCAGTTGCATATTTAATGATTCTTTGATAACCCGAGAAAACCTGAAAAGGTTTCCAAAGGATTGTACAACAGTTTGTGCAAATATCACATTCGATTCTACATCGGGTTTGACTGAAAAAGAAATTAATGGAACATTCTCGACGCTAAGAGTTTTGTTTGGAACTCTCAAAATTGAAGGGACCAATTTCAAAAATCTCAATTTCTTTTCATCACTACAGGTCATTTTTTGTAAGTTTAAAAATATTTGTAAACTATTTTGAAGAAAATAAAAAACTTTGAACATTCAGATGGCATCATAATAATCAACAATCCAAAATTAACGGATATTACGGCTTTTAAACGTTGGTCTGCCTATGAAGTATTCACAACGCATGTTTTTGGAAATTCCGCTTTGGATTTTGAACCGTTTTGCGATCGGGATTGGGATAGGCAATACACCGATTTCAATGTTTATGGTAATTTGAAAAATTGTGGTAAGTGAAAATTCGAATTTATCAGAAACTTCAGGAATTTATGAATTCGCGAAATTTCTAAATTCCATCAGTTTAGAGACTTGACTTCGTTTAAAGAGGGGGGGGGGGCACATCTTGAAGTTTTGTTCAAGTAAGCCTCTCGAGGATTTGAACTTGTGAGACGAGTATTGAAGGGCGGCGCCTTTACCGACTGAGCCACGCAGGCAAAGGTAGAGCAGGATCCCGATGGCGGGCCTTATCGCACCTGGACCTAGCTAATTCTTTTTTTTACATTTTTGGGGACATAATACGTCATCAGGTGAAATTTGAAGAAGAAAAAAAGATAATAGAACAGGTTTGACCTGAATTCACACTTCAGATTATCAAACACCTGTTACTAGGATCGGACATAGAAGAATACCGCACTCGAGATATTCCTCTGGATATTCCCAGAAGGGAAACTGTTGGTTTCGTTTTTTTGAAAATAACTTTGGAATAAAGAATTCATTCGGTCGGGACATTTACAGAGATTTACCGAAATGTTTTTTTTTGGAAATTTGAAAATAAACCTTTACAGTAGCGATTCCGGCAATTTACGAAAAACTCAAAAAATTGTATCATTTAATTTCAAAAGTCACAGTTTTTTTCGATTTTTGAATAGTTTAAAAAATGTTTTCTTTCATCATTTCAGGATGCAAAAACGTGCGAATCGAACCGAAATCTCTACCGTACTACCGAAACTGTACAACCATAACTAGCGGATCATATAATGGTCTCAAAATCACCCAAACCAGTCAATCCATGGATTTATCTGGTTTCTTACTTTTAAAAAACTTGTCATCAGAACTAAAAGTCTATAACACTCAACTAGAAGATTTGTCATTTCTCAAAAATCTGGAAGTCATCGATGCTGAATTTGGATATAAATTTTTGAGCATTATGGATAATCCCAACCTTAAACGTCTTGGTTTTGAGTCTTTGAAGGTAAAGAAAGTTTTTTTGCATAAAAAAAATAGAAAATTCCAGACCATTCTCCCAGAAAATAACACATTTACAATGGAAATCAAATCGAATCATCAAGATTTTTGCATCACTACAAATGAGCTACAGGTTCTTGCAGTGCACAGAGTTGACTTTTTAATGACCCAAATGAAATTATGTGAAGATTTGAATCGAAGAGATGGAGAAAAAGTTTGTCATTTTGGAGATTTGAGCACTATGGATTCCGATTGTCTGCATATAATTGGAGACGTTTCGATAAATAATGAAAATGAGAAATTTGTCGGAAAGCTTAAAAATGTTACATTTATCTATGGTTCTTTGACAATCAAAGGTACGGAGGAATTGGAAAGTTTAGACTTTTTATCGAATTTCAGACAAGCGGCGAATCTTAAAATTGGTGAGCAAAAACCTTTTTTTTTTAATCAATTTTTTTGTTTCTTTTTAGAAAATGCATGTTTTTCCAGATGGCGAACGGTCAGACTTCACACCTGAATTTGACCAAACTCCTATGGTTCGAATTATTTCGAACGAAAAACTACAGAAAGTTTGGTTGCACAGTATGAGAGTAAGTTTCAAGAATCCGTTTAAATTTATGTGACACAAAATTATATTTTCCCGAAAAAAGCAAAAATTATTTTCAGTCACCACCTTATCCACAACCTGAAGGAACTCATCGTATAATTGAAATCGATGGAAACTCTATGGAAATTTTCAGAGATCAAAGAGAATGTTTGTTGTTTCAAAAACTGACACAATCTCAAATCAAATATAATAAACAAAGCTGTTGTGAGTTTGGAAAGGTTTTTTGTTCAGAAGTACAGTAATCCGGATGTTTCAGCAAAATTGGAGCCTGCAACTACAGTAAACCCCATTGGGTCTGTGACGGATTCGGTTGAAAATTTGGAGACTACAACGAAAAACTGCAATTCTAAATTCTGGAATTTTTTCATTTTTATTTTGGCATTATTTTTCTAAATTCTAGATTTTTAAAGCTATCTAACTATTATATGTATTTTTTCATATATTTTTTCATTTTTCCATTTTTTCAAAAATTTTCCAATGACTACAAGATTCACCTACAAGCTTTATCAGTGTTTTCTTCCCCAAATATGGTTCAAAAATTATAGAAACTTCTAGTGATTTCATTTTACATAATTTTTCACCCGATCTGTCCAAATTAGTAATTTTCATGACTTTGACATTTAAAATTATCATCCAATCAAAAGTTATAAAAAAGGCTTGAAGAATTATGAAAATCGCTAATTTGAAAAAATAAAAAATCTCATATTTTTCATATTTCATCTTCTCACTTTGGAGATTTTTTCTAACATGGAATGACTCCCAAGTGTTACCCTCGGAAAAAAGCGAGAACTATATGGTTGGATAGAGCGTAAAAAGTTATTTTAGATTCCAAACGGAATAGTAGGTAAAAAATTTTTTTGGGAGTTATGGTCCAAAAAATACCAAAAAATGCCTAAATTTTCAAAAATTAATAACTTTGTCAGTTTATGTCCGTTTGTTGAAATTTAAAAAGCAGTAGATAGACAATTAAATTGAACATTAGAGAATAAAATTTTTTGCTTTTTTTCCTATTGATTGGATTATTGATTTTTCGAAAAAATCAAAAAATTTTTCAATATCTCAAAAATCCTAGGTTAACTTCTTTTTTCATTATGACCATTGAATTCAACACATTTGATTTACTATAGAAACATATCAATATCCTGGGGGAAATCATGCTCACACAAGTTATGCCGAAAAATATCGATTTTTGGTACTTGGCTTCTTTGAATTCGTTGTCTTCGGCGGTCGGTATGGTGAGGGGCGTACTTGTTTTTGTAATTTTTACTTGCGTATCGTTTGCCTAGAGTGTTTGAAATAGAATCCTGCGACATACAAAGTCAATTTTTCAAATGCCGTACCATTTCTTAAAATCATCATCTTGAAAAAAGCAAAATTTTGACATGTGACAGGGCACATCTATAGTTAAACTTGATAGAAACGGCCAAACTATTTTTTTATCATAATTAGAAGAACATAATCTTATCAACGGCTTGAACAGAATTTCGATTTAGGCCCTAGAATCAAAAATATTTACGATTTTCCGAGCCTGACCCCTATTTTTGGTGAAGTGTGACATGTGACAGGGCACATCTATAGTTAATCTTGATGGAAACAGCTAAACTTTTGTTTAAACATGAATAAAATGACAAAATCTTATCAACGGCTTGAACAGAATTTTTAATTAGGCCCTAAAAATAAAAATATTCACTGATGATGGGACACCTTTTGTTTTTGATCATAACTTGAGAACGAAAAAAATATCAAAAAAACTGTTAACGCCATTCGATTTAAAATTTAAAAATACTATTAAACAAATGTTATTGGTTTTTTTCGTATCGTGAAAATAGGTGAAATGGAAAAAGGTCGATTTCGGCTGTCCGAAGCTGGAATGATATCTTTCGGAAATCGTTCATTTAACCTACTTTCACCACAGGGACCAAGTTGATTCCACTTTTTCTATGTTCAAGCCGCTGATAATATTCTGCCATTTTAATCATGTTTGAACAAAAGTTTAGCTGTTTCCATCAAGTTTATCTATAGATGTGCCCTGTCACATGTCACACTTCACCAAAAATAGGGGTCAGGCTCGGAAAATCGTAAACATTTTTTAATTTAGGGCCTAAATCGAAATTCTGCTCAAGCCGTTGATAAGATTACGTTTTTCTGATTATGTTAAAAAAATAGTTTGGCCGTTTCTATCAAGTTTAACTATAGATGTGCCCTGTCACATGTAAAAATTTTGCTTTTTTCAAGATGATGATTTTAAGAAATGGTACAGCATTCGAAAAATTGACTTTATATTTTTCGGCATAACTTGTGTGAGCATGATTTCCCTCGGGGTATTGATATGTTTTTATAATAAATCAAATGTGTTGAATTCAATGGTCATAATGAAAAAAAAAGTTAACCTAGGATTTTTGAGATATTGAAAATTTTTTTGATTTTTTCAAAAAATCAATAATCCAATCAATGGGAAAAAAATTAAAAAATTTAATTCTCAAATGTTCAATTAATTGTCTATCTACTGTTTTTTAAGTTTCAACGAACGGACATAAACTGACAAAGTTATGATTTTTTTGAAAATTTAGGCATTTTTGGTATTTTTTGGACTTCCCAAAAAAAATTTTTTACCAACTATTCCGTTTGGAATCTAAAGTAACTTTTTACGCTCTATCCAACCATATAGGTCTCAATTTTTTTTGAGGGTAACACTTGGGAGTCATTCCATGTAAGCCGATTTGTCCATCTGGATTCAAAAAAACGAATGACAAATGTTTGAAACTCTATACAAAAAGTTTGAAACATTTGGAAGCGGAACATGAGTTTTCACAATTTGGAGGAACTTTGGCAACTATCAAAACTGCAGTGGTAAGTCATTTTCTTTTGTAAAACTGTGTAAAATTCCAGTTTATAGGACAACCGTGCCATTTATACATTGGCCGCAAGCGCTGGAGTGAATTCCATTTGGATTGGATTATTCTGCTACGCAAATGGAAATTCTACACTCTGTGTTCATGATGATGACTCGGGACCAATGATTTACACAAGTTTCACATTTGGAGATCCGAATTTACAGGGAAATGATGGATGCGTTTACATGCGGACATCCGGACGAACAGCGGCACAGTGGGTGACATCGTCTTGTGGAGTGGCTGGGATGCCTTTTGTTTGTGAAACGCCGTTGACTTTGGGGGGTTAGTGAAATTTGAAATGTTCGGGATAAATTTGAAAAAAAATTTATTTTCATTTTTTGTACATTTCAGATCAAACTTGTATTCATAACTACAATGGGTACTGCTATCTTCCATCCCATGAGCTCAACCTTCACAAAAACGACACATCTAATGCAACATATTCTAAAGCTAGCGCCATTTGTGCCTCCTACAATGCCACGTTGGCTTCGATTCATTCGAAACCTGAAGTTGATTATATTCATGCACTGTTCAAAAGTTCAGGAGCACCAGGACTTCTTCTAGGAGCTATTCCAGTTGATGGCTTTTATTGGAATGATAGTCTAATGAATCCTGTTTTCTGATGGATTTGGCAATGAAACCAAATTATGGATTATGGTCAAAAACATATTGTCATAGTAGAAATAACTTTCTGTGTAAACGGAGAATTTCACAGGAGGGACTTCCAGAAAAAAACGAACGACGTTTGAACAATGAAAGGTTTGCGATACTTTTACCAATCGCGTAGCTTAGCAATCAATTTTCAGACACCCAGTACCTGGACGACTCTAACTGCAATTCAACCTTTATTATGTCTCCAGGAACAATTTCGTCTTTTGGCTACCCAATTTCCAAGCCTCCTATAACCACTTGCACCTGGAACTTGGCCGCGTTCGGACCGTACAGAATTGGAATATATTTCACGGATTTCTCAGTGTGTTTATCGGTTTATATTTACGACGAAAATGACAACTTGATCGGGATGCCAGGACACGAAATTAGCTCATTTCAAGTGTTAGCTCCTGGCAACGTGGTGAAGATGGTTCATGACTCGAAGTATGATGCTGCCTATGGGTATCATGGATTCAAGGCGACCATTTTACCATTTTTAATTTCTTTTTTCTTTGTTGATAAAATAAAAGTTCATTTCTTTGATCGGCGGTACATTTGGCTGAAATTCAAATTGTCATTGTTTGTTGGGATGCTACACGTGCTCCCTCCACACCAAAACACATACCAGTTAAGTTAAAACACGAAAATGATGTGTGAAAGCAAAAAACGAGTGCTTCAGCACATGTGGTTTGGTCGAAAAGACCCGATGAATCAAAAAGTTACTAGAGGAATAAACTCTAGTGACATGTGCTTGGGAGAATTATGATAACTGTCATGATAGAAACACATGATGAGAAGAGTTTGTATAAATACTGGGAGGAAGGATGGGCTAGGGAGAAATCATGCTTCGTGAAATTTTGGTTTTGGCATTTTTATACTATGTGAATGCGGATGCAGATATCAAAGGACCACTGACAGATGATTTTCAAGCATGGCTAATGCAGTGAGTTTCTTCCAAGTTAGAACTTTCATCGTAACTTCAACATTCCACTTTCAGACACGGTTACGCCTCCTATGACTTCGTTCGCGCTGACTATGGAACTCAAGGAAGTTATGGAGGAAAAACATCCAGTACCCCAAAAGCTGTTAACACTCCAGTAGTTTTCATTCACGGAAACTCTGACTCGGCTCTCAAAAGTGGCTCCTTAGCAAGTGGATGGTCCAACTCCATCGGCTACTTCCTGGACCATGGATATACCAGTGCAGAACTCTACGCAACATCTTGGCAAGACACGAGCCCATTAAATGCGTCGAAGAGAACCCACGACTGTACCGATCTGATTCGCCTTCGAAAGTTTCTAGAAGCAGTTTTGGCGTATACAGGTGCCCCAAAAATCTCAGTGGTTAGCCACAGTATGGGTGTGACTTTGGCCAGGAAAATTGTCAAAGGAGGATCGCTGACCGCACCGGATGGGTCTTGTAACTTGGGACTTCCGTTGAACAAACAGGTCGAAGTGATGATCGGAATCTCCGGCGCCAACTATGGATTGTGCAATTGTGAAGGAGGAAGTGCGTCGTTGGAGAAGACGTGCAATAGAGACAATGGTCTGTGGCCAGGGGATTCTTGTGGATTGAATTATTTGGATTGCGGGTTGTACCCATTGGTTTGGCCATGCAGTGGAGTCAATTATTCCTCGTTTTTGATGCAGTTGAATTCAGATAAGAATAAGGAAGCCGATTATGTATTCAGTATGTGGAGTCTGGGTGAGCTAAAAATTATTTGCCCAAGGTGTCTATTGATGGCCTTTCAGCCGATGACGTGATTCTATACGGAGACATGGTTTGGGGACGATCCACTTCTTTCATCCCAACCTCGGACGGAAAAGTTGTCTATCATGTTTATACGCATATGGAGAGTAAGGAACTGACATCTGCGGATCAGTACCAGATGGTCAAGGACAAGACGGTGCCGTCCGTCTAAATGTTATTTGTTTCATTTGCACATTATTGCTGTAGATTTGTACAATAAAATGTCGGTGATAAGAAAAGAGGATTAAATGCAGGTTGGGAGGTACACACGTGTTGGCAATGTGGTCGCATAAGACATTTTTGGTGATCTGACTAAAACACAAAATGTTTCAGCCAAAATTGAACAAAGAAGACCTCTGGGGAAGCAAAAAAGTGCATAACTTTGCTCAAAATGGTTCAATCGCCCAAAAATTAATGATAAAAATAACTGGAACGTTTTGTAAAGAGGATCAAAAATTTAAAAATTCAATTGCTTTTTTTTTACTTCGAAGGTTTTTTTCAAAACCATACGGTACCCCCATTCCCAGAGTACCATGATATGTGATGATTTTTAGGCAAAATGTCATGGTACCATATGGCATACTTCTAACAGTACCATATGGAACTTCTTGGAACCATATAGTACCACTCTAAGCTCCCATATCATTTGCAGACATCAAAGCTGCTGTCATCAATTCGTATTCGTCAGTGGAAGGACTAGTCCAAGATGGCCAGGAATATTCCATCGACAACTAGCTGATCAATACTGTCAGAAACAAATTAGGGATTCCAACAACAAAATGTACGCTTGTGGAAAATTGGCGACTTAATTAATCTATAATTAGTTGGATAATTAATGAAATATTTGATGATTGTTGAAAGATGGGAACTTTTTTGATAGAAAAACATTTAAACAGAAATTTTTAATTAAAAAAAAAGAAGAAATTTGAATTTAAAAAATGGAAAATTGAAATTTTGTGGAAATTTGAGCATAATATATTATCCTATTTTTTGAAAATTCTGCAAACCTTTCAAAAAGGTTTTGCTTATTTAATTCATTTTGAATTCATTAAAATTCATAATAATTCGTTAATTTCAGGGATTCAGAAATTCAAAAATTTCGGGAAAATTTTCAGATTTTTGAATTCGAAAAATTCCGAAAAAAACGAGTTCTGCAATAAAGTTCTATTTTTTCCATTTATCCGCACAATTCTTGAGCAGTTGCCGAACAGCTTCGAAAATTTTGATGAAATCGCGCCGCAGGCGCAGTACTTTTCAATTCTGGTTAAAATTCTGAAAACCTCCGAAATTCGAATGTAAGAAACAGAAAAATGTTACTGTAGTCACAGTAATAATTAGAGTACGCGTAGAAGGTATTGCCGGAACAAAAAACTGCGACCTCGGTGTATGCAGACTCAGTACAAAAAGCAGAGTGTTTTGCACTAAGTCTGCCAACACGCAGATCGCAGTTTCATAATTCCGACAATATATATGTGTAAACAGACATAAGCATTTCTTTTTGATACTATCAGTGTTGTACTTTCAGATCTCAAACTGGGGTTTTTTAATGATAGTTCCCTTCCCTTGATTCTCGTATCGTCATTCCTAGAACAGTTCACAGTGCAGTTAAAATTAATCTGTCATTTTTTATATTAATGGGAAATACGTATCGGGAGAAATGAGAACGGGACGCCATCCTATATAACGACCACCGGGAGGTTTAGTGAAAACTATTCATCACCGTCCATCCGCACCATTACATTCCATTTAGCCGTTCTAGGAAAAGGTCAAACAAAAAAGTGGAAATGGTGGATTTCTTGGTTGGGCGTCCAGGATTTTTTCATTGGTGAGAACTGCGAGGCTTTCAGAACTTGAGTTTGCTCCGCGACGAACACATATACTTGTGTTAAAATATGCTTTGTAGGTAGTCTCGACGCGAAAGCAGGATAAAACATTGCTTATTGTGAGTCATGTTTTTTTTATTCAGGTAACCTGCAAAAAACTAAGTGAACAAACCAATCCCGGTTGAAACTTTGTGAAAACTGAAGAAAACTATAGGGAACGTAATTATCCACTGTTCCCTGTAATTTCCTACAATTTTCCCGAAAGTTTCAGCCAGATTAGTTTTTTTTCCTTTTGCAGGTTCCCACTAGGTTCCAAAAAGCGTGGCCAGAAATCGCGCCCCAGTTAATTTTTAAGCCAGATGAAATACACATTGACCTATTTTCGCCCTTGCGTACATTTCATCAGTAGTTTTTTTTGCACTGCTGTTTTCCTGTTCGATGTTACGCCGAAGATGCATCCGTTTTCTCGCACACACTTCTTCCGAAAATCGGAAGAAAACGCCACCCACTTTTAGGGTTAGCGCTTGATTCTGTTTTAGAAGACCCTTTGTTCGGATTCCAGATTAAAAAAGATCCGGTAGAGAATGCGCATAGACATTCAATGCTTACGTGGATTGACCATATCTTTTTTCTTAATTTATCACTTATTTCCACTGGTTTTTGTAAACGGATACCTGGGAGTCGATATGTAAGTTCGATGGAATCTCTCTGATTTTACAAATGTCTCATTTTCAGGTTCTTTGTTATTAGCGGATACCTAATGGCTCGAACATTAAACCACTCAAAAATTCACAATATTTCTGATATTTTGAATCGCAGATTCAAAAGAATTCTTCCGTTATATTACCTGTTTTGTGCGGTTCCAATGCTTTGATCAAGCGCATGCCAGAAGTTCCGGAAAAAACCAAAGAATATGTACAGAAAGTAGTGCCATCCAAAGAATATGTACAGAAAGTAGTGCTAAATTTGCGATAAGGACATAAAACTTTGCACATCTACTAATGAAGAGGGGAAAAATGTGGACAAAAATCGATGCACGAAAAGCTTGCGTTAAATTTCTCAAGCCCTTTTTGAATTGATCCTTAGAATTTTTGTAAACACCAAAATATCAGAAAAAAGTCAAAATTTTTCAATTTTACAGAAAATCCGAAATTCCGCTGTGATGACAATGAGTTGTGATGACAATGAACTTGAGCAACATTTTTCTTTTTTCCCATTGTTTTTTTTCAATTTTTGAACAATTTTTTTTTCTGTTATCTCTCCACAAGCTTTCAATGTTTTGTTTTCTAACATTTTCAAACTTATTGCAAAAAAAAGCTCAAACTTATTGCATTTTGCTCATTCAGGCGGGCGCTGCACATCATGAAATCACATTTTTGTTTATGACTTTCAAAATTTTCATCAGCGGACCATATCGAAAAATTGTTAACCACATTAATTCCGCTTCAATGACAAAAAAGTTTCAGGTGACGAGTTTTTCTTTCTAAAAACTGCACAAAACGTTTTGAACAAAATTTTTATACGAAAAATGGATTTCGAAAACATCTCTCCATTGATTCGCACTTGTGACTATCGTGGACAATCTAGCTATTGCTATATCCCTCTTTTCGTTGGCCAAATTGTATACGCACTTCCTTGCTCAATGTTCTATTTGTATGTGATTCTGAGAATTATGAAATTCGGATCGCAAAATGTATTTTCTGATATATTTTTTAAACTGTACGCCTTGGATGGAATTGTGGTAATAATTATTCAAAAATTATTGTTTAAAGGAAACTAGGCATCAAATTCCAAAAAAAATTATCCATCAGAAAAATTCAGAGTCTTCTTGTGCTGGTCATGGATTTCGGTTTGACTCGTCCATTGATTTATGTAAATGCCATGTGCCATGTATTTTGGAAATTGTTCCCCCGTCCGACTTATATGCTGACCCCGTATTTATTCTTGTTCAATTACTTTCAATTTGCCAAATTTTTTTCGATAATTTTGTTATCCGCAAATCGATTCACAAGTGTGATTTATCCCATGAGACATAAAGCGGTGAGTTTAAAATTTGAGAAAAATTCTCATATTTCATTTTTCAGTTTTGGAAGAAGTATGTAAAGTTTGCTATAATGATTTGTATATTATCACCTATTTGTTTCACTTGGCATCTGGCAATTGCCCCTGCTAGGTTTGACCCGTATGTTGGTGAAGGAATCATAGGATACGAGTCGTTGGTTCCATTTGTGGGTCGAAACAATTCTCCGAATACCAGAAATTATTACTTTCAGATTCATACCCGACATTTTAAGTTGTTTGTCAGTTCGATAGCATTTATATTCCTTCTACTGACCAATATAAAAATGTACAAATTTATCAAAAAATACCAAAGCTCTATGAAAAGTTTTGAAAAATCACTTGCACAGTCTACAGTAATCATGACTAGTGTTTTCATTTTCTATATGATCGTACAAACTATTCTTATCATTTTTTCCACCACTTTTCTAGTTGATCACTTATTTTTCGGAGGCATTTTGAAGAAAGTCGAGTGTTTTTGCAATGATTTATTTTTGTTGAGGTTTGTGACTTCAGCAAGTATTTTTTAAAAATTGTTGGATACCGTAAACACTGTAATAGAACGTCCACCCCCAAACTTTCAACTTTGAAGCAGGTCATCTCATTTCCTATGAGAGATATCAAAAAGCGATAAACTGGCAAATTTTGCTGATATTATGATAAGACTTTTGTCAGTTAACCACTTTTTGATATCTTTTATGGGAAGTGAGATAAATTGGCTCAAAGTTGATGGTTTGGAGGGCGTTCTACAGTGCGCGTCATGGTCATTTTTTGCATCACCCCATTTTTTGAGGGTTTCAGAAAAACTAAAAAACTAAGAGAAAAACGGCTGATGCCATTCGATTCAGCATCCCAAAAAACCTATGTGTCCCCTAAATCAAGTACCAGTCAAGTTTATTAGGACTACAGTATCCAAAAGTCTGTCTGCACACCGCGTCATAATGATAGCACCACCCTGGAAAACGTAAAATCTCATGTTTATTTGAGAAACAAATTGAGATGTTTTTGTTGGAATTCGTCAAAATAGTCATGAAACAGTCTATTTTGACAGTCTGCACAAAAATTGATGTCTCTATTCAATTTTTAGAGAAAATTATTTTCAGACATTTCCGTCATTTTTTGGGTTTCCAGATTAAATCTTGAATAACTTTGCTCCTGGATAAAATTATGAGCTGGAATTCATAGAAAATATCTTGTGAATGCTCGCAGTCATGTTGCAATTGTTCAAGGCATTCATGAACTCAGGTAGCTCATAATTGAGATTTTGGAAATGAAAAAAAAAATGAAAAAAAGCCAAAAATGGAAATTTTTCAAAGAAGTGTAAAACGTTCAAAAGATACTTGTCCAGGATGGTGTTATCATTATCACGCAGTGTGCAGACAGACTTTTGGTTACTGTAGTCCAGTGTGTGACTACCGATTGTCACTTACCGGTAACGGCATTTTTGGTAATTTTGCCGGTAATTTACCGGTAAAAATTTACCGAAATTTACCGGTAACCTACCGGTAAATTTAAAAACTACCGAAAATTTACCGGTATTTTACCGGTAAATTTTCGGTAAAATTTTTATTTTCCTCGAGGAATACACGAATGTTTTTTTTCTGCTGTTTCACTAGTTTTTTTAAATGTCGCAGTTCTAAAACGTCGTAGTTCTAAAATGTCGCAGTTCTAAAAAATCGCGGTTCCAAATTTTGAAAAAAAAAAACAGAAAATTTTCCTAGAAATTACCGGTAGTTTTCGGTAAATTTACCGGTATTGTACCGGTAAATTACCGGTAAGTTACCGGTAAAAAGAGTGCTTACGGTAATTTCAGCTCGCCAATCGTCCTGCTCATTATGAATAAACGGCTCCGCACAGAAATTTTCGGAAAATCTAAACAAATCCATCCGGGACCTATTCATATCGAAAAATCTTCTAGAGCATCTGCTTCGAAAAATCAGAATTTGTTGAAGAAGATTTTCTGGAAATTTTGATGTTAATTTTTTTCTGAAAGTTTATATTTTAAATGTATTTCCATTCAAATTTCACATAACTCAAAAAGAAATCTTCATTATTTTTTAGCTCCCTTATAATTTTGCTTATATCATTTTCAGACTTTCACACTTCATAAACCGCAGGCGTGAGAAATCCAAAAAATTGGATTTCAGCTTTCCCACTTTTCAATTTCCGCTGTATTGCCAAGCTCAAAAGCTTTCCTCATTCTGTTGTAATCTGATTCAAAAAGGGTAGCTGGTGTTAGGTGCGAAAAAAATAAACCAGCTGTTTTTTTTTTGGCTCAAATGACGTGGCTGCTATTGATTTTTCTTGGAAGTGTAAGATCACAATTTGCACCTCCAATTGACCCAGTTATTGAGACTACCACTGTTTCAACAGGTGTAACTACTCAAACTACTATAACAACATCAGATTCGACTACTATTCCTACAAGCCCTCCCACAGATTCTCTGCCAACTACTACGGTAGTAACTACGGTAGTTACTACAGCAGCCCTCTCAAAAACTACTGAAAATCCAACAACATATTCTAGTTCGATTTCTCCAACTTCAACTACTCCAAAGCCTTCAAGATGTGGTAATTTTATATCAGATTTTCTATGTTCTGCCCCTTCCAACTTGTAGAACCAAAATGCACATTCCAAGTAGCCTACATAGAATCTGCCAATTTGAAAAAATTCCCGAAAAGTTGTACAACTGTCTGTGCTGATCCATTATCAATTCAACATGATACGGATTTGACGGAAAAACAATTGACAAATGCGTTAAAAAATATGAAACATCTGATTGGGAGTTTACTGGTCACCAGAACCAAGTTTAGTAGTGGAAAGTTTTTGGCTAATTTGGAATCTGTGGATTGTGGTGGGTTTGCTTTGAAGGTCCAGGCATCGACCGCGTAGCTCTTGTTTTGTGAAAAATGACACCAAAGGTACGATGTCCAGGCATCGACCGCGTAGCTCTGGTGTCACCTGTGTAGCTCGTGAACGTATGTAAATTCAATTTCAGACAACATTGGTCAGTTCAAATGGAGTTTGAACGAGAATCTCACAGAAGTTGGGCTTACAAATTTGAAATCTGTTGCCTGTCAAGTTGAAATTACTTCGAATCCGAAGTTGGCAAAATTAAACTTGCCGAATATGATGGTGAGTTTATAATCTGAAACTAGGGTTGGCTTGGGGGCGAAAAGGGGCGATCCCCGCCCCGGGAGGCGGTATACTTTGCGTAATTGCGCGTAACTGAATGGACCAATTGACTTGAAAATTTCAGGGTAGCCTAATTGGGTACCC